CATACCCATAACAAATAAAATTCATACCAATTATTTTATTTTCAAAATTAAATGCACTTCTATCCATACCAAACGAAATTCATATCATTTAAATTTGGACATTTCATGCCAAAATAAAACCACCCTCATTTTATTAATCATAATACTCAACTATTATTTTATTCTAAAATTTAGTGTCATATAATATTATTAAAATAATTTTTTAAATTAACAACCCAATTTTATTATATGCAAATATTTGATATTTCTAACAAACAAAATTTTATACTCTAATAGCTTACGCAACACGAATTTTTATTTACGCTGCGTAGTATAAGAGCCAAAACATGACGACTTATGTTATAAACATTTTAAAACACGAAAAGGAAAATAATTTCAATATAAATGACCGTTAAGGCGAGATTATATTATTATTGTGAAACCCCGTGCGTAAAGAAGGACTACAATTTTAAATATTTATTTATTGAAAATTAAGCACATAATTTATATTTTTAAAAGAAAATAATAAATATTATGATAAGATATCAACCAATTTAATGTATGATATATCATGTTTATCAGTTTCATATATGGAATGCGTCGCTTAAGTGATTTTATTTGCAATAAATATGGAGTTGTGGATATATTAAGGGATGATTTTTATTTATATTTAAACTAAAAGACAAATTTGTTTCCATAAAATAAAAATTACCTAAAAATAAAATCAAAATATTTCTAAATTTCAAAATTAAAACTCTATTGAATTCATGACCACTTGTCGAGTATACTTAATTAAACACATTCAAATACTCATAGAAAATAATGTATAAGTGATTTTGAGTAATATAAACATCATTTAAGACCAAAATTCGATGTTCTTTTATGTTCATTGGAATTGGTACTGAAGACACGATATTGAGTACTAAACTACCATTTAAATTGTGCAAAATTATATAAAATATGTCTATTTAAAATTAATACACAACTCGTATGATGTACATAACTGATATTAAGTTACATTATTCCATTTCAAAATAAGTGTCATTATAAAAATTTTTATTCAAAATTTCAATTTGAATACAATGTGGTTCCATTAAATAAATATTTTGGTAAAATTTTTATCATATATTTAAAAATATATGTGAATAATAAGTATACCATTACTGAATTATATTTTTATTATATTTGTTATAAAATAATTTATGTTGTATTCATATTTTCGAAATTAGTTTTTTGATAAATATAGTTTTATTTATAATGATATATGTAATTATTTTTATTTTATATGCAATATGGATGTCAATCGAAGATCGTTAAAATATGATTATTTTGAGATATAATATAAAAATATAAAATAAAAATTTAAAAAGTTATATTGATGTAAAAATAAAAGAATACATAATTATAACAATTATTATATGAATTAAATGATGAAGGGTGTCATTCAATGAAATGAAGTGTATTAGCAGTGTTTTCTCATTAATGTATTGAGTTCATGACTATTTTACGATTAAACTCAATTAAAATTATTTGATCTCATATAAACTAATGTGAGAGTGATTATGGGTCATATAAACATTATTTGAGACCGAAATTCGGTGTTTTTATGTGTTCATTACAAGTGGTATTGAAGTCCCAATACCAGATACTACAACAATACAAAACTGGTACTATCTAACTCTATGTCTGGTACAACTTTTTGTAAATGTTGACCAAAATTGAAATAATCCATTTTCGTTCACAAAAGTAGGTACTAATCGATCAAAAACAGGTACCACGTAGAAGAAGATGCGGTACTATTTTGGCTAAAACATGTACTATTTTAAGAAACGTGATTTCTCTAATCCTTCATGTCTACCATGTCACGTGGATCGTTAACGCGTGATTTGGATGGAAAATAGTGTAAGTTAAAACATATAAGTAGCATTTGGAGTAGTCATGTATGATGATTCTATGAGATGAAGTGTGTCATTCAATGAAATGAAGTGTATTAGTAGTAATTTCTCATTAGTATGTCGAGTTCATGACCATTTACGATTAAACTCAATTTAAAATATTTTAAATCTCATATAAAACATAAAAATCATTTGAGACCGAAATTTGGTGTTTTTATGTGTTCGTTACAAGTGGTACTAAAGACCCAATATCCGGTACTAAAACACCGAAAGCTGGTACTTTCTTACTCTACGTCTGGTACCAATTATTGCAAATGTTGACCACAATTGAATAATCCATTTTCGTTGACCAAAAGTTGGTATTAATTGATAAAAAACAGGTACTACGTTGAAGAAGAAGCGGTACTATTTTTCCCAAGATTGGTACCATTTTAATTAGATGAAGTGTATAGTAGTGCTTTTTCATGTGTATGTTGAGTTTATGACCAATTTGCGATTAAACTTAATTAAACACGTTACAAATCTCATAGAAAATAATGTGAGAGTGATTATTGGTCATATAAACATCATTTAAGACCGAAATTCGGCCTTTCATTATGTTCGTCGGAGTTGGTACTAAAGATTCTATATCTGGTACTAAAACATCGAATGCTGGTACTATTTTACTCTAGGTTTGGTACCAATTATTGCAAATATTGACCACAATTGAATAGTCCATTTTCGCTGACCAAAAGTTGGTACTAATCGATCAAAAACTGGTACTACGTAAAAGAAAATGCGGTACTATATTGGTTAAAACAGGTACGTACTATTTTAAGAATCGTGATTTCTCTAATCCTTTATGTCTACCATGACACGTGGATCGTTCGCCCGTGATTTTGATAAAATATAGTGGAAGTTAAAACACATAGGTAGAATTTAGAGTCGTCATGTATGATGATTCTATGAGATGAAGTGTGTCATTCAATGAAATGAAGTGTATTAGTAGTGTTTTCTCATTAGTGTGTCGAGTTCATGACCAATTTGAGATTAAACTCAATTAAAAACATTTTAAATCTCATATAAACTAATGTGAGAGTGATCATGGGTCATATAAACATCATTTGAGACCGCAATTCGGTGTTTTTATGTGTTCGTTACAAGTGGTACTGATGACCCAATATCCGATACCAACACAATACAAAACTGGTACTATCTTACTTTATGACTGACGCTACTTTTGTAAATGTTGACCAATATTGAATCAATCCATTTCGTTCACAAAAGTAGGTACTAATCGATCAAAAAGAGGTACTTCATAGAAGAAAATGCGGTACTATCTTGGCTAAAACAAGTATTGTTTTAAGAATCGTGTTTTTTTTAATCTTTCGTATCTACCTTTTCACGTAGAAGAAAGAGGTACCTTTTCATGTCTACTTTTTGTAATCTTTCATGTCTACTTTCTCATATAAACTAATGTAAGAGTGATCGTGAGTCATATAAACATCATTTGAGACTGAAATTCGGTGTTTTTATACGTTCGTTTCAAGTGATACTGAAGACCCAATATGCGGTACTAAAACACCATAAAACTGGTATTAATGTGGAGAAAATAGGTACTATTGCGAATAGAAACTGATATCAGTTTAAAAAACACAATTTCCTTAAATGAGTACTAACTACTGGGAAATTAGTTCTTTTACACCAAAAATCCGATACTAATATTAAAAAAACAGGTATCATTAGAAATCAAATCAAAAAAATCTAAAATATCATCCATTATAAACTACTTTGTCCACAAACCATCATCCACAAAACTACAATCATCCATCAAACAATCAAATTATCAGACTACTTGTCCACAAACCACAAACCATCATCCACAACATCACACCATCAAAGAAGATTTCACAACATCACAACCCTTTTATAAGCATATTATTTATTTAAGGTAATAGTTATAAAGAAGAAATAACAATTTGATAGTCTTCCATGCCAAGTAGGATCCCATGATTCTAGTCAATCCCTTGATTTGTGCATTAGATATTTGATTCCATTCTTGCTTTCCTTCTCATGATTTACTTTTCCGATCTCTATCAAAACTACAGAGAAAGCTCAAAAAGGTCTGAAATTAAAATTTTAACATGTCTTCTTTCGTATTTTCATTTAGCAGCCTAAAATATTTATCTCGGAGAACAAAAGTGAATCTGAATTTTCAAAGTTAATATGATCTACAATTGAACACCGAATTGTTTGGT